ACGTCAATGCCGAAATCGATGGGTGATTATCACATTAGTTTTATCCTTCTTCTGTGTGTGCTTTATCTTTTTCACATATTTTTTATCTGAAACGGTTTGTGTAGCTACCTTCTTTTGTTCCAAAAACAGGGACGTCACTACTGGTAGGCAGTGCTGCTGAACCCGATTCACCAATACGCGAAGCCTTCCGCTTCCCTTAATTTATCTCTTACTAGATCTCAAACCGGTAAGGTCTTGGATGGTGCAATCGCACCAACTCGGTTCAGCTACAAGCAAACATGACTAGTGTGCAAACATGAAATTCAAAATTCGTGTGTAGTCTGTACACGAACTTGCACATACAAATTCTTTGTGCAATCTCTTAAAGGCATAGGCGTATGCTCAGTGAATTACCAATTCAAACACTTCAAGAATAATTTTTATTGCAGAGTTGGATATTTTCGCCTTAAGTAAAAGTGGAGGTGACTGGCACACCAGGTCTACTCCAATAGAATTCGTTTAATAGGTTTTCTGACGTGGGGTGTACAAAAACCGAAAAAAATAACCCCGTCAAGTAATTGATATCGTAGCCAAAGTTTCTTCCATTATCTAGGGAGTATCGCTGCTTTAAATTACTGATTTGTCGGCCTGTAAAAATCCTGGATGCTATAAGGCACTTATGATATATTTTTATTAAATCTGTAAGCATTTGCTCGATCGAAGTTTTAAAACATTTGTTAAAACGAGCCGTATAGCACCCACGAGGTCATCGCGAAACACGTAAGATCTGTACTTCTTATCCGAATCAATAAGATTTGAAGTCTTCGAACTAGTCAGATTGAGACTTTCTCCACTTACAACAAAAGCGTCGGTATCATCCTTTTGAAACAAAACACTAAATTCAAAAATGTTACACATGTGTTTTCAATATTTTAAGTGAATCCTTAGCTTTTTACAATTGCTTCCATATGGCTCTCGCAACAATTTTGTCAACAAAGTCCACAATTTTTTTTATTGTGCTGCAAAAGGAGGCGTAGCGGTGGCTCTCGCTCTACGTGTATACACATGATGGGGCCCTTTTAGAAGAATTATGACTTTACATGTAAATTATTAATGTGGATTGGCAGCTTTTCCTTCCAGACGATGTTTTTTTTGCAAATGATGCATCATTTAATTTAATGTGTACGTGCAGTAATTTGTCTTCGACAGGACGGACCAAAAATTGAAATACTTGAGAACACCATGTATTCCGTTTTGACTTCCACGTGTGACTTGTTCCTCTTCTGCTGCCTCACCCGATCGTAAAAGTTTTCTGTTATTGCTTAATTGTTTACTGCATTGTGGGCAATTACAGCGTACCTAGCAATGCCGTTTCTGGAGTACTCAAAATCGAATATGAGAAAGTATTCACGAAAATTTTAGGAGGTTTAAAATTTCGTAGTGACCGACCAAGTAGAAGCAGGCGATTGTACGGGTGAGATAAAAAAGGTCATCTCTGCAATACTATGGAAATCAGACAAATGAAGAACATGAAGTTTCTATCTGAACAATCACAGACTGATAAAACGGCGGAATTATTTGGGATAGTAAGATGATGTAATACTGTATAATGTAAATTACTTAAAAACGCGGAGACCCCGCCTTCTGATCAATTTATAACTTCTGCGAGGCCGAAGAGTTTAGCTATCAGTTAGTGGGCGCAAGGTAAACGGGACCTTTTCAAAATGCACTTGTCTGTTTATCGATCTTTGTGTCTGATAAGAACGCGGTTAAGTGTAAATATTTCGTACCAAGTGCGATCGAGCCTGTCCTCTTATTCTATGTTTATATGCACATCCGAAGTCACTCTTTGGCTAGGTCATTCTTCTGGCATGTTTGTCATTAGCTTACTATTGATCAAAGTTGAACATGATTATATAAGCAAATACCGGGCGCCTATTAGCAAAGGTCGATCGCGTTGCCCAAGTATACTGTACTGGGATATAATAGACATTGACGAATCTTCTCCTTCTTCAGTGACTGCTGTTGCATAGTGTGTTAAAACTTGATTCCGTTCTACAGACTGAATATATAAATCAAAGAGCCAACTATAGAGCTTGCTTACCTGTCTTTGAAACGTTATCTAGGTGCAGCAACACATAATAATCAACGATCTTGACATTGGAATAAAGACATATGCCACTAAACGATGCACTTTATTTTGACACATCAGCCAGACCGATTTTACATATTTGTAGGGCGCTTAGTGGTACGCATTTATCCGTATTACTGGGGACTATCAAATTATTGTCATCGGCTGGCGTATTGATTTGACTTTAGTTACACAGAACCAATTACAAGATCACAAATGTATAGAACTGATTGACTTACAAAATGTATAAGCACATTAATTAAAATTAATTTTGTAACGGGGTAGCCCGTTACATGAAATTGACACCAAACGGTGTCAATAGGAATATTGTCTAGCATGACAATCTTCTACCAATATTATTCAAGATAGAATATAATGAAGAAATTTTATCCCCTTTTGATGGCATTCATGCGCTGCTCGAAAAAAGGTTGATATAAGACATATCAACCTTAGATTGCCACCAATCGCTGCTAGACGCGCGCAATGAGTGGTAAGCAGGTTGTCGTCATACGACGGCGTAGTTTAGTATAGTTAGAAAAAGATTAGAGTTAAATTGATAGCTTAACTAGATTAAATATAGCTCTCTTTTTATCTTTACTTGAACGAGTCGTTTAAGTAGCTTAGCTTCCTCTGCACGTACTAGTGTACGTGAAGTTTCGTGGCACCCCAAACAAAGGGTGCCCCGTTACACCTGGTAGCACTTATTAGTTCGTCTAACGACTACTTAGTGTCCGTCCAACATGAACATGTTGGACGTAGAAGACGACAGCTTTCACGTCACACGCGAAGGCTACTCCCACCTGAGTGACTAAGAATGGGAGGTAGTCGGCCGCATGAGTGTGCTCATGGGCGAACCCGCTATCAGTGGCATGTTGGAGTCTCTAAACGTAGACGAACAAAATGCCACTTTCAACAAGTTCCTACAAGGGGAACTTGCCGTCAAACGAAAGAAGATAGCCTTGCTACAGCAGCAAGGCTCTCATCAGTCGATGGGTGGGCCGACGCACTTGCGTCGAACCGAAACCTTAAAGATTGATATCTCAAGGTACAAGGGAACCGATAAAGATTCCCTTTTAGATGGTCCGTCGAGTTAGACGATGCCATCAGGGCCCGTCACGTCGAGGGTGACGAGATGCAAGTCACCTTCGCCCTGTCAAGTTTGACGGGACGAGCAAAGACTTGGGCCTTAGGGCTCAAGCTTCACGACTCATACGCGTTTGAGTCGTCGGAGATCTTGAAGTCTCGGCTTAAAGAGACGTTTGAGCCGCCGAGAGCCGAGTGCAGAGCACGCTCGGCACTCCTAAGGCTCAAGCAAGGTAAGCGCGATGTGCATGCTCATTTAGAACACCTGCGCTACCTTGCGAGTAGCGTCACGGAAAGTCCAGTTGATGAGCACACGCTCATCAACGTGTTCATCTACGGTCTTGTGGATGGGCCGGTGAAGACCAACATGTTCCGAGAGGATTTCCATACGCTGGAAAAGGCGATAGCGTGTGCGGAACAAGAAGACTTCAGCCTGAGACAGTCATAGGCTAACTCGTCAAACTATCGTCCGACGAGACGACAGGAAACAGGAGGTCCGAACCTGTGGACCTCTGTCACATCGAGATCGAGAAATCTCACTCTCTGATTCACATGCGAACGGCAAGATACCATCGCTGTCAGAAGATTGGTCACTACGCTCATGAGTGAAGTGTCCCGAACAATGCGACACGTTCGAAAACAGGACGTGATGACCACCGTTGGCCAAGGAAAGTTCCATGGCGTGGGTCCGACCATGTTGCTAAACCGCGACAGCAAGTCGGACATCAAAAAAACCGACAGGGTCGGTAGAGGCGGAGCACCCTGCTGACTCAGCAACGTCAAGAGAATTTGCAGGGCTCTTGATGAAGATTGCTCCCATCACACAGTCTCTGTGTGTTACTGCCCTTAGTGATGAGGTGTCCCTCATCACTTTGAAGATCGAAGTGACAAGTGGAATTTCACTTCGCGCCCTTGTAGACTGTGGGGCGTCGACAGTTTTATTCGACGCCAGTCGTTAGAAGAGATTCGACTCAACTATGTTCAGCGAGAGTTCCCTCCAACGAGGATGACGGTGTTTCTTGCTACAGGCGCATCCGTAACAGTGGACAAACGTGTAGTGGGAATTCACTACACGTTAGAAGGAAAGCAGTACGATGATGATTGCATCGTACTGGATTTGAATGACAAATTTGACGTCATCCGCGGTCTGCCATGGCTTAGAAAATACCAGCCAAGGGCAGCTGGCAGCATCGATCCGTGAAGATGCCTGCCGTTTGTTTTTCAGATGGCCATCTGATGAACGTTTTGGAGCGTCCACAAGCGTGTGTATGTACTAAGAGTGAGTGCGATGGCCTCACTTGTGGTACGGTCGTTAGTACGACTGCACAAGATTACAGTGTAGAAGGCCATTACACTGTGGAAATGCTTTTGGCAGCTGTGTAGAGACACAGGCTGCGCCGAAGGTTCACCACTCGAATAGATCGAGTGGAGTGGAACACGGATGCACACCAATCAGGGTGCATCCAAGAAGAGATGTTTGTGTTGTTTCAGAATGAACAACACGTTTAAGCGAGATCGACTAACAGAGAGTCGATCGCAAAAGCAAGCACGATCGACTAAAACAGAGTCGATCGACGAGGACATAAATGTGGAAGTGCACCCACATTCAGAACACGTAATGGAAGAAAATTCCAGCGTTCCTGAGAGTGACCATTCCCGAGAGATTTATGATGAGGGTGTTTTTTACCCAACCACCTGCGGATGTGTTTTCCCAGGAAATCACCGAGACAGTTTCTTGGTGAATGACGGAATCAGTGTAGGCGCTCATTCAATTGATCTGGTTACACCTCCAAAATCAGCTTCGGAGATGGTCAAGTTGCCAACGCTAGAATCTAAAATATTCTTGCGAGATCTGCGTAGTGAAAAGATCAAGAAGATCTGCGTACTCGTCACAGAGGACGAGTACGTCGCCGATATTCGGTCGGCACAGGTGTTTGCTGAGAACGAACGGGTTCTCAGTAGCTCATCGTTGGACGAGAGTGTCCTCGATGAGAAGACTCGGATTGAGCAATACACGTCTCAATCTTGAGATTCTTTGAAGACAAATCCTTTGTACAAGGATGTGGTTGAATTCAGGGATGTTTTCCCGGAATCCGTGCCATGCGAGCTGCCCAAGGACACAGGCACTCGGCATGAGATCGAACAAAAACGTGGTTCAAAGCACTGTGTCATGAAGCAGTGGTCACTGCCTCTTGAACAGGTCACAGCGATCGACCAATTCGTTGCTGATCGTTTAGCGGCTGGTCATGTGAGGTAATCAACATCACCACACAGCTATACGTCCTTCTGTGTGCGAAAGGCCACAGGAGGGTGGCGGATAGTGCAAGCGTTCAACAAATTGAACACTGAAACGGTACCAGCTCTAACGCCGATCTCAAGAAAGGACGTCATCATAGATGGTATGGCATAGAGTACCATCGTTTCGTCCATGGATCTGATGGATGGATTTTATCAGATCTTCATGCGTGAACGGGACATCCCGTACACAGCAGTGAGCACCCCCAGTGGTATGCTGTGGGAGTGGCTAGTGATGCCACTGGGGCTAAGTAACGCCCCTGCAACTTTCAACATACGTTTTACGAATCTGTTGCGATCAATGCGCGATTTCACACCGAGCTACTTCGACGATGTCTTCGTCCATAGCCGGGTTATAGATGGAAAGACGGACGTGGAGGTTCATAGAATCCACGTCCGGAAGGTTCTTACAATTATGCGTGCGCATAAGTTGTTCGCAAACCTCAAGATGCGCATATTTGCAGCGAACGAAATACCACTTCTTGGCTGCATCCTGGGTAAAATCTGTGTACGCCCTGATCCGGAAAAGATCAAGGCGATTAGCGACTGGCCTGTGCCATTCGATGTCAATGGACTTCGAAAGCTCCTTGGCTTGGCAGCGTACTTGCACAAATACTCGCGCAACTATGCCGAGATGACCGTACATCTATCTCGCCTGCTTAAGAAAAAAAGAGAGGTGATCATGGAGTGATGAGTGTCAGCACTCCTTTGAAGGTATCAAGAAAAGCTTGATGCAATCGGCTGTGTTGGTGATTGCAGATCAGAACAGGCCATTCTATGTGGTCTGTGACGCCAGCGATTTTGCAATCGGCTGTGCGTTGATGCAGTACGACTCAGACGGCGTTGAGCACGTCGCCTGTTACCAATCGCGCCAGCTGCAAGCAGCTGAGAAAAATTACCCGGTGCATAATTAGGAACTCGTTGCTATGAAATATGCACTGGCCAAGTTTCGGGTATATCTATTTGGAGATAAACCCTTTATCGTTTGTACCAACCATGCGTTGTTACGCACGGCCGTAAACAGTCCACACCTCTCGCAACAAATGGCAAGGTCGGTGTCTTTCTTCGCGGAACATTCTCCATCGAGTAAAAACTAGGACGACTTTATGTCGTCACTGATGCACTTTCGCGTCAGCCCGATTTCGATCCGACTACTCATCCCACCATTAGGGGTGATCTCACTGTAGCGACACTAACAGTGAGTGTTCCGTCGTCGAGTCTGCTCGACGACGTGCGGAAAGCATATGCAGACGAAAATTCTCTTCTGCGATTGATTGATTGCGCATACAATCCATGCAGTCAAGTTTTGGAAAGCTTAACGTATCAATGCCACTCTTCAACCGAACGGTATTCGGTTCTTGATGGACTGCTGTACTATACAGCAGTTAATGGCCACACACCTCGTGTCGTCATTACCGCTTATATTGATTTGCGATTGCGCATCATGTATGAGTGTCACGATGCCCCAACGAGTGGGCATCGCGATAGAGAAAAGACTTACCTCACGGTGAGCCGTGACTTCTACTGGCCCCTCCAGTAAGAGTTTGTGAGCAAGTAATTCCGTGCTTGCCAAGTTTACCAACAGGTTAAGCCTAGTACTTCATCCCGTACGCCCTTGCAGCCTCTACCGAGTCCGGCAGAGTGCTGGCAGTCCGTATAGATGGATTTCATCTATGGGTTTCCCAAAGACGTTCACAAGAACACCGGTATTATTGTGTTTGTGGATCGGTTCAGCAAGATGGTACATCTTGTTGCTGTACCGGAGTCAATCACAGCCCAGGGCTGTGCTCGTGTCTTCATCGATACTATCTCCCGACTTCACGGGTTACCCCGTGAACTCGTGTCTGATAGGGACCCTCTCTTTACAGCGGAGTTCTGGCAATCCGTGTTCCGTTCACTTGGAACACGTTTGCAGATGTTGACTTTGGACCATCCCGAAACAGATGGTCAAACGGAACGCGTCAACCGCGTCCTCGAAGAGATACTTCGAGGGTGCGTCCACTCGTTTACGAGCAGGAGTAAGTTCTTGCCGATGGCGGAATTAGCCACCAACATCTCGGTGCATGTGTCGACAAAGCATACACCGTTCTTCGTGAATGGCCTATGACATCCACGTTTACCCGCCTTATTAGAGTGTGACTCTAGTTTAAGGGGGAATGTACTCTCTCGAACAAAAACTGATCCGGTTCTTGCTCATCACTCGTCGACAATGGTGTCGACGTGATGGATGCCAATGACGATCACATCGACGTCGGTGATGACGATGACGACGATGCTGGTAAGTTCAGCATCGCCAATGACTGCCAAAGTGAGGACGATGACACCCTCACTGGTGAAGACAACGTTCTTTTAGCAGTGCACTCGAAGCGCACTGCTGTTGACGAGGATGAATCAGCAGAGGAATTTCTGCTGACTCGCAAAGAGGTTGTCCGCTTCGTTCAAGACTCATGCAATAGACAGACAAAATAGAAACGCAGACAATTATGGAAGAGAAAATGTTCTTTCATTTAATGAAGGAGACTTAGTTTTCCTGTTTACAGTAAACCTACCGAAACACGCAGTGACAAACGTGGGCAGCAGTAAATTACTGCCCAAGCACATTGGTCCAATTTGTGTGTTGCGCCGAATGGGCAGCGCATACAAGATTTTACTGCCCCGTAAGATGCGTACGCATCCTACGTTTTACGATGGACGTCTTCGCCCGTACTATCAGTGCGAGCCCGTTTCGAGATGCAAAGAACTCCTCCGCGGTCGAGAGCCGAGACCACCTTCGAGTGTTCCCGTTTCAACGATCCAGTCTGGTCGACTAGCGAAGCGACCTGCTCACGCAGTTCAGCGATGTCCGGACGAGCTGCAGTCAGCTCGTCACGAAGAGATCAAACCGAACGATCGCTCTCAAATTGTGCGAATGCAAACGCGGCACGATCGTTCGAACGATCGTGCGTTAGGGAGTTGTAAAAATTCCTTACGAGATCCTCAAGCCCATAACACCGAGACCGTTCATGATCCAGGTCATCTTGCAGCTATTCCGTTAGGTGGTTCAGCTCTAAAACATCAAGTTGACCCACCCTCGAGCCGGATCAGGTGTTTCCACCGCCACCACATTCTTTGGTGGACTCAAGCAGTGGTCACCGCTTCCTAGTGAAGCGTATCGTAAACCACCGCGATGTGAATGGCGTCCGGACGAGTTGCCTCTTCCGCTGGCGTGGCTATCCACCGGCGTGGGACAGCTGGGAGCCTCGTGCCCAGCTGATTGTTGATGTCCTGGGTCTCGTCGAGCAGGAAGACGAAACCCACCCGCTGCGTTCGAAGAAGGGCCGTCGGAAAACGACCTCCCCGAACGCGAGTACAGATATTGCAAAAGTCGATCCCTCCGGCCATCTCGGAAGATATGCGCGTCCTCTAGTGCGGATCATTAGGAAGGAAGGCCTCCCTAGGGGCATGGTTCGAATTGTCCAGGCAACCTGGACACGATTACCCCACGAGAGACAGGGTAATCCTGCCTCTCTTGATAGTCGATAAAACTTGTGTCGTACACCGACTGGGTAACGCTTCTCAAATTTGATGCGAGCTAAATCAAGTTTTGCAAGCCAGGCCTCACGGCCAATGCACTCGATGTTATGGATGGAGGCATTCCATCCTTGCACCCAGGCCTTACCGTCTCCGCCACGGTTGCTGTTGAATCACCGCTACTTTAAATTCCTCGGTGAAGAATTCTTCCTCAGCACGGATAGTTTTAGTGCTGAAATCAGGTTGGAAAACATTCCTGCAATTGAACTACGAGATTCGATCCCGTTCGGTAGTCATTCCGTCAAACCGGTCCAAATCTCTGGATGACGGCATCCACGGAGACTCTACTTGAGGAGCGTGGCGCAGGACATTTCGGTCCCTGGCCTCTTGATTGGTGCCAGCTTGAGCACTGGCACCAGTGTTACCCCGATTCCTTGAGTTACTTCGCTCGTGGTGATGCATGGGTGCATCACCACCATTCCCACGCGTCCTATCGCAAGACGAACTTGCGTGAGGCGGAGATTAATCGGTATAACCACTCGATCCGAAGATCTTGGACATGATGCCGCCACGTTTCTTGGAGCCAGTCAACCTGTCTCATGCAGTGTCCTCCCCGGGTGATCCGGAGGCGTGAGGAGTTGCCGCCGAGTCGGATGCATCATCCGACTCGCCAGAATAGATGAGCTCTATCTCATACTCGTCTTGATTACGACTCGCAGTACCCGCTGCAGACGCAGCGGATGTACCGGTCGCACGTGGTGACTCAACACGTAGAGGATTCACGACAACAGGCGACGAATCGCCTGCTGCTGATGTGTGAGATGCACTTACGGCGGCCGCTCGCATGCGTGCAGCCGCTCTTGTTGCTGCTGCAGTTGCAGTTCGCGTGGATTTTGACACCATGCGTTGGATTGGCATATGGATGGGATGTGACCAACAAGTGCTCCCTTTCCCAGAGTGACCTAACGGTTGTCACCCTGTCCTAATTAATTCTAATTCAATCAACGGGTTTTTCATGGTTAAGAGGGGGCGATGTAACGGGGTAGCCCGTTACATGAAACTGACACCAAACGGTGTCAATAGGAATATTGTCTAGCATCACAATCTTCTAACAACATTACCCGAGATGGATTACAATGAAGGAAAATTGTCCCCTTTTTAGATATTATTCACGTGCTGCTCGAAAAAAGGTTGATATAAGACATATCAACCATAGATTGCCACCAATCGCTGCTAGACGCGCGCAATGAGTGATGAGCAGGTTATCGTCATGCGACGACGTTGTTCAATACAGTAAGATAAAGACTGAAGTTATTTTGATATCTTAACTAGATTTAATGTGGCTCCCCTATTATCTTTACTTAAACTAGCTGTTTGAGTAGACTAGCTTCCTCTGCACGTACTAGTGTACGTGAAGTCTCGCGGCACCCCAAGACAAGGGTGCCCCGTCACAAGCCTCCTCTGCACGTACTAGTGCACATGAAGTTTTGTGGCACCCCAAAAAAAGGGGGACCCGCAACAAATTAAACGTGGAAGTCGTTAAAGCCCAATTATTATTACCTCCTTACCAAGGCATCCCCGACCATTTCGATGTTTAAAGATAGCCTTCTGATATTTCCACATCTTTCATCATAGTAAGTACGACAAAGTTAACTTGGTCAGGACCATGATGCTAGCTCCTCCCTTAAAGCCTATGTTTGAGACAAGGAGAAGCGAGGTTGCTTTTACCTCCTTTGCATTAAGCTTAGACAATTTGACTAAAATACGCGCAGGAAGGCTGATTATTGCAAAAACATAAGGGGTATGTATGCCAAAAGCTGTCTTCTTTGTCGCACTTTAACAAAATTAGACAGCTTTGTCATGGCGCTCTTTTTCTAAGGTACCAACCGGGTTGCGTCTTTTTTTAATCTTCTTTGGTGCGTATCTCGGTGATAACATACTGCATCAATTATAACCCATTGGCTATTATAGACTGGAAAGGACATTGAAAAAAAGAAAACCACAAGTATTTGCGTTGTATTAGTCGTCAACATCAGCGGGTACGTCGCGGCGTTAGCTGCTGGCGAGCTGTGGAAGTCGATTCACGTGTCTGATGTACAGTAAAAGTTAATTGTCCTATCGCAGTATACAACACAGAGAAAATTCAAGAGATAAAAATCCACTTTACTGGTAACATTTCCGTGATAATCACGAATTAGTCTCTCTTGTTGATCCAAATTGGACAAGAACATGACATAACGCATCATAGCATCATTACAAACAACAGGTATAAACACTTAGTATTTCCCAGTGTAAGCACTGGTCGATTCTCAATTGAGTACATGATGGCTTGTAGCTTTAATCTCGGTCTGCCACACCTTTCCTGAAGTATCCGCATATTCTATAATCCTTTTTATGAAAGCAATTATAAAATTATCGGCAAAAGACTATGGGCTATCATGAATTTTGAGATTCTTTCATATCATATTTAGTAGGGAAGAATGTATCTGATGGAGGTCTCGCGAAATCTGCATGGTGGTGCGGCTATCTAAAAAGGGTAGGTTGCAATACTTTCAATGACTTTTATAATGTCGCGTCAATGCTTAAAAGAGGGTGTGGCTGAACATAATATGAACTGTGATTACACCAGCTTGACGTATTAACTATCTTTATCGGTTTTAATGTGCGAATACAAATATCTGTATTTCTCAAGAAGAAAACATATCGGATATATTTGCAAACAAGGCAGCAGAGTTATTCTCAGGAAAGTTTTATTATTAAGAAAAGAAGGGCAAAGTATTAGAAAAAATGAACTCTATTGGAATTCAATCAGTGATTACAAGGAGGGTTTAAGATACGCACCCACCATTTATTACGGTGACATCCAGTCGAATTGTCTACGCTAACAAATGTCGCCTAGATTAACATACACAAACGAAGAGAATGGTTAATTCACGTATCCAAGTCGTTAAATAAATGCCGTAATGTACGCCTTTCTCGGGCATCGTGATCGAATGTTGGCTGCAAATATCAGCCAGTAGTCAATCATTCACTGAAAGAATCATTATAAATGTACGCTTTTACTAGTGAATGTAACCAACAGCTGGCAAATATTTTCAACAGGCAGTTACAATTATAATGGAAGCCTTGTTTTTTTTCGAGTTGACGTGACGGACTATCGGCTCACATCGATTTCTGTCACCATGGTACTTGTTTTCGTACTCAGGCGCACGCCGTTCCAGTTGCAAATCTAGTGCATAGTGCAAGTGCGGTATGCAGTTCGATGGTGGAAGAATACAATCGCGGGTGCTAAGGGAGAATGTAAGTTTGAAGGGGCCACAGAGGTATGCACTGCAAGTTCCATCTACACGCTCGGGTAATCATGATGAATTTAGCCTCTATCAGCTAAATATGGCAACCCTATACTTCTGCCTTTCCCGATTCAACGAAGCATGCGGCTGAACGAAGTCAAAACAAATACTGTGTAATGGAACTTAAAAATCAAGACTTGGAAAATGTTCATAACGAGACTACAATTGATCAAAGGCTCCGATAATTTTATCAACCTTTTCTGTTATCCTAAGAAATTTGTTGCCCGAATATTTTTTGTTGGCAAGCACCACAAATTTCTCACCACCAGTAACTTTCGGCATCAGATAATATATAGAGATAATACATCCCACTTTAGTTGATGAGTGCGCAGGCGTCTATATATTGATTTTGTGGGCGTCCGTTTTACAATTTCTGGATGCAGGCATGTTAAAATAATGATAATTTGAAATGTTACCTCACGGCTATTCCGATAAAATTGAGACCTCATTCGAAAACCCCTTTAAGGCTGGCGCAGTACCAGACTATAAACCACGGTTCAGCAAGCACTTAAATATCAAGTGCGTTTCAAGTAAGCGGTCTGTAGCACGTTCGGTATGAATGCTCTTTTTTACTACTGCAACGTATTCAACAGCAACCATTTTCGTCCAATCGAGAAGGCCTCGTTTGACCGACCATAATGGCAGATTGTTCTCATACTGACACTCACTGAGCAGTTAACCAAATATGAGATACGTTAAGTTTCAAATAAGACTTTTAAAAATATTATAACTCAGTTCTGTGCTCACTTTTCCGGTTGATGCATGAAAATTGAACGCAGAAGGTGTCAGAGATTGCATCAGTATGGTGAAGTGCAGGAGTCGCACGTACCGTGCTGCTACCAGGATGAATTATTAATAAAAGAAGTAGGGCCCAAGTGCAGCATTATGCGAGCTTCGATAAGAATAATAGGCATCAACCGATCTTGTATCGAGTAATCTTACTTGTGCAAATATATACTGTCTTTAAACAATCCGCCACGGATGCGAATAACATCGGCGGAGACAGCTGTATATGTTGAATAATGAAATGGCGCAAGAACCTCACGAGTGCAACTTCTAATAAGTCTTGTCTTAATGCTAACTTAAAGCTACTTTTTTCGCTTGGACATGGCGCTCTTGTAGCTCGAAGGGAAAAAAGGAAAATGGATGAAGTTTCACCAACAAGTTGTAAAACTTCACCATATGGGATCCAACACACAGCAACCTTGACATGGTGATGTCGGCTGTAAAACCGCCATCTGGACATGACGCGTAAATATTGCACCGTAAGCAAGTTGCTTGCAAATGATTGACATCTTTATGTATCATTAGGGAAATGTCAAACGCACGCATTAAATTGTTAAATGGACACCTAGTTTAATTTACGCTTTTTTGCTAACGTAACCTACACCAGGCTACTTTCAGGGGACTCTTTGAGTTCAATGACAGCCTTTTTTGCATAAAGTGACATATTTTCGTCCTCAACTGCATAAAGTGACATATTTTCGTCCTCAACTGCATAAAGTGACATATTTTCGTCCTCAGTATTGTCACACGAGTATTAATTAGAATTCATCGCGAAACATTTTAACAAGTCGTCTTAATTTCAAAAGTTATAAGAAAGAACTTATTTATGACGTCGACGAGAATCTTCGTGTCTCTGTGAATGCTTTTACTCGCACTCAACGGTACATTGTAATACTTGCAAGATCTACTGTAGGCTGCAAGCATCAATAGAACGTGATCATGGCGGAACTCCACATCAAGTGTTAGAGGAAAAAAAGGAAACGTAAAGGGGCCACAAAAATGCGAATATTAGCTCAATTCATATGCTCGAGTCAAGCAGTATAACTGGCACTCAATATTTATAAATGGCGAGCTTAATCATCAACCCACTTACAATATAGTGCGTCCACACCACGTCAAAAAGTTAACCGCTCGTTAGGGAGCTAAAATTCAAGGCGGGATGTCCTCGAGGCGACAATTTTTTTTCTGGGACTCTGAGGACTCTATTGTCTCGACCTTTTTTAACTCTTCCTTTTTTCATTGTTGGTCGTTTTTCATATAGCATTGACCAACCTTATCTTTCACTAGTAGATTCCAGCATAAGACGAGAAAGATCGGTGCTTTTAATTGTTTAACACAACGAGTGTATATGCTCGATGAAATGACGACAAGATATTCGCATAATACGCAAGCGCTGACAAGTAATCTTGTTGTGATTAAAATGAGTTCATTTAACAAAATTATCAATTGTTTTATAAGGCGTCTTTGTTGTGATTCTGTAGGCGTGCATTAAACAGCTGCCAATAAATATACATGTGAGCGTTTAAATTTGTGAATACATATACATACCAGTTTAAACGTGTAGTGCCATTTTTCGAGTTAAGGTACCTAGCAAAAAGATGCCAGACACATCGCAAAATTGAAAATGCGATAAATGAAAAAAGTATGACTGCTCAAACATGTTTTGAAACGCGTCGTATCCAAGTACAACTCGTGAAGAAGGACTCACTTTAACGGAACGTCGTAGTTCAACACACCCAACACGTTGATAGGAAGGTTGCATATTTC